TCCTCTTCCTCCTCCTCTTCCTCCTCCTCCTCCTCCTCCTGCTCCGCCTCTTCCTCCTCCTCCTCCTCCTTCTCCTCCTCCTCCGTTTCCTTCTCCGTTTTCCTCCTCCTTTTCCTCATCCTTGTCCTCCTCCTCCTCCTCCTCCTCCTCCTCCTCCTCCTCCTCCTCCTCTTCCTCCTCCTCGTCTCTCCCCTCTCATATACGCCCTGCCTCATACTCCTAAACGTGCTCGCGGCACAAACAAAAATAAACGGCCGGAGGCCTCTGGCCGTGCTCGGCCTTTGGGGGCCGTCGCTGGGCCCCGGGGCCGTCGGAAAGCACGACCGGGGACGAAAAACCGGCCCTGGGGGGAGGAGGGAGGAGGAGGAGGAGGCGGAGGAGGAGGAGAAGGAAAAGATAGGGAGAGAAGAATGAGGAGGATGGTGAGGAGGAGGAGGCAGCGGGCGCTCTGCGCTCCCAACGGCGACATGCCCTCGGGTCGGAACTCCTGGGGGCCCCGTGCAGTCGGACCTGGGCAAGGAGAACGTCCCACGAGAACATCAAGCCCTCTGTCGGCCAAGACAAACGGAACATCCACGGGTGCCTCTCCAAGATGCAGAGGAGCATCCATCAAACACGAGGAACACTAGGGCACCCTCCCCGAACCGACCTCGATCTGATACCTTGGTCCGACTGCAATAGAAAAAACACAAGCACATCGGATGTCTGGGGTGGTCCAATCCCTCTGCAAATCCTCCTCCTTCTCATCCTCTTCCTCCTCTCCCCAGGAGGAAAATGGGGACAGGAATAGGGATACTTTTGCTTGGGCAACCCTGTCCCTTTCCCGATCCCAGTACTCCTCGAGCCCGTCTCTTTCCCAAAGCGGCGATAACGGGCGTGCTCGGCCTGGGCCTCGCGCACCCAGATCACGTCACGGCGGTTGTCCCGCTGCGACCACGGGTTGCTGCTTGGCGGCGAGCCCGAGCGGAAAGTGAGGTATGGCAGGCATTCTCAGAAGACGGAGCCTCTCAAGGCCCTCGCGCCTTCTGAGAAGTCTTCTCCGCCTCCACCTAAGGCACAGGCGGCTTCACTGAAGGCGGAAGGGCTCCTCCTCCTCCTCCTCCTCCTCCTCCTCCTCCTCCTCCTCCTCC